GAAGCCAGAGGGCAATGTATGGAGCCCATGTGAGAAGGTGCAAGGGTCAGCGTGGACCTTGGAGGATTTCCTGAGATAAGCTGTTCTCTGGGGAGCCGCTGAGATTCCCAAACAGCACATCAGGAAATACTTTGGTTAGAGGTTTTATAGATGCTGGGGCAGAACCCATTGTCCTTTAGAGGCTTCGCTGCCGCCCATCTGCACGCAGGTCCCCTCTGATGGGAGATAAGGTCAGCCAGAAGGTCGCATGAAGGGGGCCAGTCAGTTATAGCTCAATAAAAAAAAAGAAAGTGGGGGCCCGCATAAGACCCTTTAGCCTGATGCATAGTCTACCAGTGAATCATTTGCTTGGTACCTTTTTCTTTTTTTTTAATTTGAGGTGTAATTGACATATAACATTATTTTAGTTTCAATGCAGATCATAATGACTCATCATTTGTGTATATATGAAATGATCACAGTAAGTCTAGTTAACATCCGTCACCATCCTCAGTTACAATTTGTTTTTCTTGTGATGAGGGCTTGTAAGATCCACTCTTAGCCATTTTCAAATATTCAATGCAGTGTTATGAGCTACAGTCACTGTTCTGCACGTTACATCCTTGGGACACACTGTTTGGTACCCTTTTGTATCCATTTGTCCTTTTCAGCTTGTGGTATATTTGCCTTACTAGCTGATAATATCCATTAGGGATAAAGGCAGATTTAGACTACTGGGTGGAGAAGGGGTCGGGGTGGGGGCAGGGGGCTATATGTTTAACAACCTTGTGGGCTCTGTCCTTCCCTGGAGATGGGGTGTCTGTCTCCACAGTGTGTGTTCCATGGTGAACAGCAGCAATTTTAGCAGGGAGGTCTGTTAGCCTCTGGGATTCCCAGGTGGCGCTGGTGGTAAAGAACTTGACTGCCAGTGCAGGAAACATAAGAGCCTCGGGTTGGATCCCTGGGTTGGGAAGATCCCCTGGAGGAGGGCATGGCAACCCACTCCAGTATTCTTGCCGGGAGTATCCCATGGACAGAGGAACCAGGTGGGCTACAGTCCATAGGGACACAGTAGGACACGACTGAAGCGACTTAGCACGCACTCAGCTAGCCCCTATCAGGGCAGCAGTGATATCCCCTATGGCAAATCGGAGTACCAGCAGGGGTCAGGAATCCACAGGGTTTCCAAGTGCATCGGCAGCGCAGCAGACACCAAAAGCATGAATGGAGTTGGCATATGTATGTACTGCTAGTTTGCAAGCTCTAGGGAGAGCTATGAGCTGGGCCACTGGGGCTGAATTGTAGTGGGCAGAGCATAAGCCTCCAGCATTTGACCTGGGGAAACTCAGGCATGACCCCGTGATTAGGTTTCCCCAGGAATTCCGTCTACAGGAGCCATCTCGAAACAGAAGATAGTCTGTGTTGTCTGAGGTGGAGAGGGTGCCTAAGAAGTGTTTTTGTGGCTTTGAGACCATTTCTCTAGTTGTAGGGCGATTGGGTGGGCTTCCCTGGTACTCAGCTGGTAAAGAATCCGCCTGTAGTTCGGGAGACCTGGGTTTAGTCCCTGAGTTGGGAAGATCCCCTAGAGGAGGGCATGGCAACCCACTCTAGTATTCCTGCCTGGAGAATCCCCATGGACAGAGGAGCCTGGCGGGCTACAGCCCATGAGGTCGCAAAGAGTCGGACACGACTGAGCGACTAAGCATAGGACAGGGCAAGCAGGCAGACGGGGTGGGGCTCTCTGTCACCAGGAAGCGACCGTAGTCAGATGGGTTTTAAGTGTTACAGTGGTGCAAGATGATGGCAGGGTGGGTGCCTGCAGAGAGAGGCACCTTTGGAACAGCAGGGGGAGCAGAGGGGACTGGGGAGCCCCAGGTGAGGGTGGTGGCTCAGAGGGGGGCTTGTGTTTGATGCCACAGGGTCTAACTGACCTGAGAAATACGCTATAGGGCGTATCTGAGAGGCCAAAAGTTGTCATAAAAGATCGTCTTCATGGCAGTGGAGGTGAAAAGGTTTGTCAAAATGAGGTCAGCTGAGAGCTGGGGGTGTGGACAGTGCTCATTTTAAAGTTTCAGGGGACTGATGTTCATTGCAGCATTATTCACAACAGTCAAGACATGAAAGCAACCTAAAATATCCACTAACAGATGAATGGATAAAGAAGATGTGGTGTATATATATGCACTACTCAGTCATAAAAAAAGAATGAAATAATGTCATTTGCAGCAACATGGATGGACCTAGAGACGATCATACTAAGTGGAATAAGTCAGAAAGAGAAAGACAGATTATCGAATGATATCAATTATATGTGAAATCTAAAAAAATGAAATGGGGGGTTGGAGGGAGGGGAGGTGAAAGTCGTTCAGCCATGTCCGACTCTTTGTGACCCCAAGGACTATACAGTCCATGGAATTCTCCAGGCCAGAATATTGGAGTGGGTAGCTGTTCCCTTGGGATCGAACCCAGGTCTCCCTCATTGCAGGCAGATTGTTTACCAGCCACAAGGGAAGCCCAGGATTACTGGAGTGGGTATAGAGGGGATATATGTATACTAATAGCTGATTTACATTGTCATGTGACAGAAACCAGCAGAACACTATGAAGCAATATTCTCCAACTAAAAAGAAATTTTAAAAAATAAATAAAATTTTAAAAGAATGCAGATGAACTTATACACAAAACAGAAATAGACCCAGAGACATAGAAAACAAACTTGATTACCAAAGGGAAAGGGGGAGGGATAAACTAGAAATTTTAAATTAATATTAGCACACCGCTGTATATAAAATAGCCGACAAAGACCTAGGGGATTTTGTAATAACCTGTAAGGGAAACGAATCTGAAAAAGAATAGACATATACATGTATGTATAACTGAATCATGGTGTTGTACACCTGAAATTAACACAACATTGTAAATCAACTATGCTTCAATTTAAATAAAACAGTTTCAGAGGAGGTTCATGCCTCCAAGAGCCAGGACATGGGCTCCAAATAGCATCTGAGAGGAGGGCAAATAAAGCTTGAGGAAAGGCAGCAAAAATAAAGGCATCTGCCGGCGTCAGCTTCTCCCCCAGGTTTGCACGTCTGCTTTTTTTGCTCTGAGTAGAGGGATGGACAGAAGTGATTTAAGGCATTTGGGAGTGAGTTTTTGAGTTCCCTGCAATAGCTCCTATCTTGAGTAGGTGGCAGTGGTTAGCAGCCACTGAAGCTTAGATCTGGAAGCATTCTGGTCTTGTCTAGTTTGTGCCCTGGACTTCCCAGGTGCACTGGTGAAGTGCAGTGGTAAAGAATCCAACTGCCAATGCAGGAGGTACAAGAGACCCGGGCTTGATCCTTGGGTCAGGAAGAGCCCCTGGAGGAGGGGGCCTAAAAGAATGAGAGGGTCTGTTTCATCACTCTGCTTATCAGGTTACAGAGTAAGAATCCATGCAAGTATTGAGCAAGGGGGGAGTCTGGGGTAAAGTCTACAAAGTGAAGTCAGCTTTAAAGACTTGGGAAAATAATCTCGCACCCTCCCTGAGATGTGTGAGTCCACATTAATTGTTGCCCTCCAAACATAATTGCAGAGAGAAATGGGGTGTCAGGAATCAACGGTGGGGAAAGAAAGCTGAGCAAAGGTCCATCACCGTAAATCAGGCTGCGTCAGCAGGAGTCGATGTGAGGGTTAGGGGACTCTGAGGTGGAGAGAGTGATAAGCGTTTATGGCTCTGCCCCCTTTGGACATATCACCAGGTTTGATTCAGAAGGGAATCAGGGAGTAGAAGTTGCCCAGCGACTCTTGAGAGCCTGAATGGAGTCAGAAGTGGTGGGTAGACATAAATCCTCTGAGCCGAGGGTAGGCAGTCATACCTGTGTCGCTTTAGAAGTCCATGGAAGACTTCCCCGGTGGTCCGGTGGATAAGAATCCGCCTGCCCAGTGCAAGAGATATGGGTTCAGTCCCTGGTCCAGGGAGACTCTGCGTGCGGTGGAACGACCAAGCAAGGCACCACAGCTGCTGAGCCCACGTGCTGCGACTGCTGAAGCCCGCGGGCCTGGAACCCGGGCTCCGCAACCAGAGGCCATGCTCCGAAACTAGGGAGCAGCCCCCACTCTGCAGGTAGGGAAAGGCCCGAGTGCCGCGGTGAAGACCCGGTGCAACCAAACAATAATAATAATAAACAAGTAAGTAAATTAAAAAATAAATAAATCCAGGGAGGCTTCCCTGATGGTCCAGTAGTAAAGAATCCACCTTTCAATGCAGGGGACCTGGATTTGATCCACATGCAACTAAGCCCGCGCGCCACAACTAGGGAGCTGGTGCTGCAACTGCTGAGTCTGTGCCCTCTAGAGCCCGAGCTCTGTGACAAGAGAAGCCCAAATGCCAAAATTTTAAAAAAAAATTTTTAATTGAGAAATGGAATTTAAGGCTCTGGCTCTTGCCCTCTCCGATGGCCCCCACTCTGTCTGTGGAGTGTGTTTCTGAATAAATCCACTTCTTCCTATCCAAAAAAAAAAAATGGAATTTAAGAAATCCAATTCCTGATCCTTTGTCTTAAGTTCAATGGTGGGTGCCAGGGTGTGACTCAGGATAGGACTGACCTTGTCCTTGAAGGGGAATTGCCCCCGAAGGGGGAGAACGTGACCCTCTGAGGGCTCAGGGTTCTAGGATGATTGCTTTTTAAGCTTTCCTTTATTTGACATACAGGACCACTGTTTTCCCAATGTCCCAGCTTTTTACAGAATGTACAATTGTCTTGGGACAAAGGCAGGGACCGTTGGTTTTAACTGCTTTTTCCTCCTGCTTTCCTGAAGGCTGTTGTAAAAGAACTGAGAAGCAGTTTCTGTAATAACACTGAGAGCCTGTCCATCCTGGCCAATTGCGCTATTTTGGATTTGCTCAGACAGTAAAGAATCTGCCCATCCCTAGGTAGGGAAGGTCCCCTGGAGGAGGGCATGGCAACCCACTCCAGTATTCTTGCCTGGAGAATCCCATGGACAGATGAGCCTGGCATGCTACAGTCCATAGGGTCGCAAAGAGGCGGACACAATTGAGTACACACACGTGTGCTAACACACACACATGTTAGGGAGATTTCCAACTAAAGCAGACGTGTTCTGGGGCATCTGCGTTTGATGCATTGTGTCTTTGAAAAGTCTGTGTAACACCTTCCACAGAGATTTGGGGACGCTCTTCTTTCTGAGCACACAGTTCGACCTGGGACCAGTTTACCTTTGGAGGAAAGCCCTTTAGCATCACTCCGATCAGACCTGGAACATCAGGCTCCACTCGGGTCATTTCCTGGCCATTTGCTGGAGCATCTGGGAAGGGTTCTGGTCACCAGTTTCTCCGGTGTGGGGAGTTTTCTGCAGGAGCTATTGGCATATAGCTTTAGTATCATCAGAGGGCCTTCCCTGGTAGCTCCGTCGGTAAAGAATCTGCCTGCAGCACAGAAGACCCAGGTTCAATTCCTGGGTTGGGAAGATCCCCTGGAGAAGGAAATGGCAAACCACTCCAGTGTTCTTGCCTGAAAAGTGCCATGGACAGAGGGGCCTGATGGGCGATCATCCACCAAATTGCAAGAGTCGGACATGACTGAGCGACTAAACCACCACCGTAGTATCATCATCGATGGAAAGAACACATCTTACAAGCTGCCCCCTATAAGCAGGGTTAGGTATGGCCACTAACGTTTCTAGCTCCTCTCTGCATTTGGCAGGATCTTCTGGAAGTGGAAGTTTAAAAGATCTGCTGGTGTTCAGGGAACATGGACTCTTTCCAGTGGAATCCAGGTTATTTCTTTCTTTTTTTTTTTTTTGGCTGAGACAAGTCTTAGTTTCAGCATGTGAGATCTAGTTCCCTGACCAGGGATCGAACCCTCGCCCCTGCATTGGGAGCATGGAGTCTTTGCCACTGGACCACCAGGGACATCCCCGTCCAGGATACGTTTATTTATTTATTAGCTCTGGTTTACCCCAAGCATAATCTGAGATTTTCTCTGTTTATTTATTTATGGCTGCACTGAGCCTTCTTTGCTGCCTGAAGGCTTTTCTTTAGTTACAGGGAGTGGGAGCTACTCTTCACTGTGGTGCTTGGGCTTCCCGTTGCAGAGGCTTCTCTAGTTTCAGAGCACAGGTTCTAGGCACCCAGGCTCAGGAGTTGTGGTGCACAGTCTTAGTTGCTCTATGGCACGTGGGATCTTCCCAGACCAGGGATCGAACCAATGTCTCCTGTATTTGCAGGGGGATTCTTAACCACTGGACCACCAGGGGTCTTCCTGGGGACTTCCTGGGGAAGTCTGAGTCCAGGAAACGTCTGACCAGCCCTTTGCCTGGGAAAGCCTGGAGCTGATGGATTTTGATTACAGAGCCCTGGGAAGTACTCCTGATTACCAGAGATGGCAAGACCAGTACCGAAGCCTCCACCAAGTTTTCCTTCTCAATATCAGCGTTTACGTAAATACAGTCCAGAGATCAGGCCCAGGTGCTCTTTGGATTCTTTCAGGGAAAGGGAAGTTAATCCTGGCAGCTATGTGTGTGAGGGATTTTCTGGGGAAGCTGGGGGTAATTTTAGAAATTAAAGGCATTTGCTGGGGATGTAAGGCTGGATTTGGGGGAGATGGATTTGAAGCAGGGACCCAGAGATCCACAAGACCTTCTGGAGGGTCAGGGACAGGCAGTTGGGTATGAAGAGGCATGTGGAGGAGTGGAAAGGGGGAATTTATGGGGACTGTAGGTTTTTGTTCTAAGTCTGACTTCTGGTTTTTTTAATCTTGTTGAAGGAGCCCCTAAGGCTAGCCAGGATGCTCTTTTGCTTCCTTTTATCAGTTTGATCTTGGTTCCAACAGGGCATTTATTTAGGATGAGAAGTCTCTAAAATCTTTTAAAAACATAAATGTTTTTCCAAATCAAAGCATCCCTTATCTCACCATTGATGGGTAGAATTTTCAAAGGTGTTGTTTAGTCACTCAGTTGTATCTGACTCTTTGCAACCCCATGGACTGTAGCCCGCCAGGCTCCTCTGTCCATGGAATTCTCCAGACAAGAATACTGGAGTAGGTTGCCATGCCCTCCTCCAGGGGATCTTCCCGACCCAGGGATGGAACCCACGTCCCGTGTATTGGCAGGCGGATTCTTTATCACTGCACCACCTGGGAAGCCCAAAACCCAGAAAGAGACAATAATCACAAAAGTCACTAGACTCCAAGAGTTAGTTCACACAAATGTTTTCTCCAGCAAATGTAAATTTAGAAGGGAGAAATACAGTAGAGACTTGGACTGCTGGGCTTGATCAGACCACATGCAGGGGTCCAGGAAACAGAAAAGAAGTCTTACGTTCTGCTGCCTTTGTCAGGTCCCAGGATCTCTCAGTTGCAGCCTCCAGAGTAGGCAGAAGGTTCTAGCCAAGGCAGTCGCTCCACACTTCCAATGCAGGAGGTAAGTGTTCGATCCCCAGTCAGGGAACTAAGATTCCACATGCCATGTGGTGTGGCCAAAAATAAATAAATAAATGGTTAAATATAGAATTACTATATGATCTGGCAACTCCACTTCTAGGAATATACCCAAAAGAATCGAAAGCAGGGACTCAAACAGGGACTCAGACAGATACTTGCCCACGAATGTTCATGGTAGCATTAGTCACAATAGCCAAGGAGGTGGAAGCAGCCCAGATGAATGAATAAACAGAATGTGGTATGTACATACAATGAAATAGTATTCAGCCTGGAAAAGGATCAGAATATTGATACATCCTGCAGCATGCACAAGCACGTAAACATTATACTCAGTGAAATAAAACAGACACCAAAGGACAAATAGGTATAATTTCTCTTATATAATGCATCTGAAATATGCAAATTAATCAAGACAGAAAGTAGAATAAAAGTTACATAGACATTCAGTTCAGTTCAGTCTCTCAGTCATGTCCAGCTCTTTGCGACCCCATGGACTGCAGCACACCAGACCTCCCTGTCCATCACCAACTCCCGGAGTTTACTCAAACTCATGTCCATTAAGTCAGTGATGCCATCCAGCCATCTCATCCTCCTGCCTTCAGTCCTTCCCAGCATCAGGGTCTTTTCAAATGAGTCAGTTCTTCACATCAGGTGGGAAAAGTATTGGAGTTTTAGCTTCAGCATCAGTCCTTCCAATGAATATTCAGGACTGATTTCCTTTAGGGTGGACTGTTTGGATCTCCTTGCTGTCCAAGGGACTCTCAAGAGTCTTCTCCAACACCACAGTTCAAAAGCATCAGTTCTTCGGTGCTCAGC